GAATTTTGCTTCTATTTCTTTAAAACTGGTCAGTAAATATTTATTGAATTAAATTGTGCATTTTTGTTGTGGGGAAGAAATATATTTCTTGCACCTATTTTTGTATGGAGATAGGATGGTTATTTCCTGGTTGTAGCTTTGCTCTAAATGCATTCAATCATTTGGTTTTCACATCAGGTGGTAGGGCTTTTAATAACTGCTTATATTTAAATAGTGCTTATTATATGCCAGGCATTGTTTGAAGGGCCTTAACTCCTTTAATCCTCACAGCAGCCCTTTGAGGTAGGCACTGTTCTTTCAGCCATTTTACAGGTAAGACAACAGAAGCACAGGGAGGTTTACTTGCCAAAATCTGAGAACTAGTAAGTTGCAGAGCTGAGAGTCAGATGCAGGCTGGCTGGCACCAGAGGCGGTATCTCAGTCCCCACGCTCTGTGGCTTCACAGGAGGCTGGAGGTGAAGATCCTCTTATGGAACTTCATGCTCTGAGGGGAACTTGCTCAGCAAACAATAAGATGTATCCCATGTGAGAGGAATTGCTGTATGGAAAAGATCTGTGTAATAAAATCGTTGTTCAGAGCCCCTAATACTTGCATTTGGTTACTGGATACAAGAGGAGCATGGAGTGGATTGTAACTGAGGGAGTAAGGGTGAGGACCAGGCTCTCACCCAAAGAGAAGCTCGGGGCCGTGTCTAGGAGATCTGTTGAGAGCACATCTGGACCTGAGCAGTCGCTCTGTAGCCTCCATCCCCCAGCACTCGGTCACCTGCAGTACTGAATTGATAGGGCCCTACTTTCCTTCAACAAGACATTGAACACTCATGATTTTCACAGTAGTGGATTTCCAAGGATGGATAGGACCAAGCCCCTACCTCCCCTCACTTCCCCACCTGCTTCTGATGCTTGCAGCTATTTTAAGAAGGGTGAAAACATTTAATTTCACAGGTAAAAAGTTGAAGATGGCAGTGCGTGGTTTACAGGGCACCTATTTCTGTGAATGAGTTTATCAGGGGGTTTGGGCTTGTTGGGCAGCCAGTGTGATTACTGTCAGATACTCCCCTTTTAATAGGTGGGGCCCAGAGACCTGAGTGTAGGGGGAGAGAGAGGATGTGAAGGATGGGGGTGTGACACTGCCCTAGTGACCTCAGTGTAGTCTGGACCCTGTTGTCCAGACTTAAAACTATTTGGGATTGTTGCCCAGGGTGAGGTGAACCCTAATAATTTTCAGTTGGGCAGAGAGAAATAGAAGCTGAGTACTGAATATTTGATGATGAAGCTGTAAAAACAGGCACTGGAGGGCTTATATACATTTTTAAAAACAATGCTGACTCTGCATAAAGGAACATTTTCCATATTGCTTATTGGTCAAACTGTCACGGCTTAGACTAATGTCCCAAGGCATGTGTGTGACACAAGCCCCTGGGAATGTGGGATTCTCTTCTCCCCTCTCCCCCTCCTCCATTAAAGGTTTAGTTGTATCATTTCAACCTGTATTCCATTTATACCATTGTGGGACAGCTGGGAGTTTTGTAAAGTTAGAGACAGCTTTCAGGAAGCAATCAGATGTTTCTGTATTACTGCTAATTTCTTATGTGTCATTTTGAATGGCACCACTGCTGTTTCTTACAGTTACAAAATCTTTTCCTATATGTTTTGTTTAATTGTAAGGCTTAGAAAATTTAAAAAGCAGCATGGCCTTGTTCATGCATTTACTTAAAAACACCTATTGTGCGTCTAAAACATTAGATAGAAAAAGTAGGAAATGTACTGGAGCAGTTTGCATTTATTTGGGGAGCCAGATACACAGTATAAAGTTATGGTAAAGACAGCACAGAAAAGTTTTTATGCAACTTTACAGTTTACAGTGTGCTTCCACATGTACCGGGGTAGGCAAAAGTAGGTTTACAGTTGTGAGTACGCGAAACATGATGTTTATTCTTGTATTATTATTTATTACTTACAGGTTTATTTGTATTACAACTATAAACCTACTTTTGCCCACCTTTGTATTTGAAGTGAGGGCAGGCCTGTTTATACTCACTTAACAGGTGAGCAAACTGCTCCACATCAAACTGCTCCACATCAAACTGCTCCACACCTTCTAGATGCCTTTCCAATGAGGACAGGTAGAGGGGAACCAGGCTGGGAGATAAGTTTGAAGCAGGCCTCTAAGGAAACCATGTCTTTGAGTGTAGAGGCCAGCCTACCCCTCAGAAGGCTGTGTGCGGAAGGCTGTGTGTGCTGTAGAAGCCTTGTCTGAAGTCCTCCACTGTCCCAAGGCCCACCCTGTGACTCACCTAATCTTGGGAGCCTTGCCTTCAGCCTGGAGGTGTGTAACAGGGGGAGGTGTCTGGTACACATAATATTTGGTATTAAACAAGCCCTTAGCTTTGTGTTTTTTTTTGAGGACTAGCCACAAGGCCACATCAAAGTGGCTGAGATGTAAACAAATAGGGCTGGTAGGTTGGAGTGGGGGTTGTTCTTCCTGAGTCTTGTAGGGTAGGAAGCAGGTGAGAATGGCTGTGATGATCATAGACCAGGCTAAAGGGACAGGGACTTGGAGCTCTGGCTCTCTGTGATCCAGGCTTATACTTCTGTTCTTAGCAGGATTTGCCATCTTTCCAGCTCCTAAGACCTGGTACTCAGGAAGTGGTCAGTATTGGTTTAGTGGTACATTTGCAGCTCTTTTGGAAAGTTTTAAATAGGATTTTTTCCTTATTAGTTAACCTTTTTTTTAATGTGAAAATACTTTTTAAAGAAATATCAAGTCAATGTCAGCATTTAAACTTTTACATTTTGGATATTGTGAATGCAAAGTATAGTTAGGGCATTCTTTAATTTGATTTCATTAGTCTTGGGTTAGTATCACTTTGGTTACTGCCATTATATTTCAGAGTCATCTCTTCAAGGCTATTCCTCTGAAGGACTGAAGATTAAGGCAACTGAATTTTGTTTAACTGACTAATTAACATCTTAAATGACACTAAAGGTCATAGACCACGTGACTGTAGTTAATTTACTCAGTTTACAAACCACTTTCCTCTTCTACTTTTTTTCTGTGCTTTCAGGTCTTTTCTCTTTGTCTAGGATTACAGATCTCTCTCTTTCTTCTGCTTTGCTTGTCATTTGTGGCTTTCATGTGCCAGTGTCATTTTAATGCAACTATATTCAGCATCGGATGTGTGCCAGGCCTGGGCCCAGTGGTACCAGGAACACAAAGATGAGTGAGAGGCGTTCTCTCCTGAGTCATCACCTGGTGGGGACCAGAATGGGGACTCGACTAAGGTTCAGACCAGACTTTGCTGGAGGGGGTCAGGATGCAGGGGAAGAGGGGAGTCCTGGTGAAATTGGTGTCTAGAGGTGGGCCTTGAAGGATGGAAGGCAGAGGAGGAGGTTTACTATGTGCCAGGCCCTGCTCTAAGTACCATCTGTGTATTGATTGGTATATTTCATCTTTATGACCACCATGTAAGGTACATTCAGTTATCTGCATTTTTTTTACACAGAAAACTGACACAAAGAGAAGTTAAGTAACTTGTCTAAGAGTTCACAGCTCATCAGTGTGCTGCTGGGATTCCAACTCAGGCAGTCTGGTTGAAGAGTCCATACTGTGAATTCTATACTAGGGGAGTGGGATTTGGACAAATGAAGATTAAGGATTGTGGATTCCCAGGAGGTAGATGGGGAGCCACAGTGATCACAGGGATGGAGGGAGACAAGTCATTTAGGGATATTTTGCTGAGGTCCTGGAATCCCACACTGAAGGGGATGATTGGTGGAATAGTATTTATAATTCATTGGGCAGTGGTGAGGTTGTAAAGGTTTTTGAGTAGCTTGTCCCTTCTCTTGCATCTTCAAGCCTGTCCCTTGCAGTCCATCAGCGTCTTCCCATCCTCAACACTGAGAGTCTGCTGCTGCTGCTGTCGTAGCCCAGGAACTTGCCATTTCTCCCCTTAATTACTGCAGTCCCCTTCCTCTGGCCTCCCTGCTTCCAGCCTCATGTTCCACACTGCCACCAGGGTGAGATTCCTCAAACAACTTTGACTAAGGTGCTTTCTGGCTTACAGCCTCATTTAGCTTCTCAACTACAAGAGATAAAGTAACTGGAGTATGGCATGTGGAGTATGGCATGTGGATCAAGCTCAGTGGTTCCCAACTGCAAGTAGAACTAGCTTCCAAACGGGCTTTTTGAAAAGGTTATGGATGCTGAAGTAACAGGAATCCAGTGGAATTCCAATCTCCACAAATCCTATGACTTCTTCGAAATGAGTTCTACCTTGTGTCACCAAGTTTTCCCTCCTTTCTGGGAACCTGTATGTGGTTAAATAGGGTAGAAAAATCTCGGTGTTCCCACTTTCCATCTTGATAGCTTTGTAGAATTGTGTTTTTTTTCCCCATGATCTGGCAGTGTAATTCTGTTAGAGCAACAATTAGTTTGACCACACATCCCTGCCATTGGGTGTCAGACCATTCTAGAAGAGTTTGGGGGTGAGGCCAGTCTGTTTTCTAGTTCCTCTGTGGTATCCTGGATAACCTAAACCCTGTGATAAGGAGCTACCACGTGAACTGGCTGGTAAAGTAGCTTTGTCATATTATTTCCTAGTTCATTGGAGTGATTCATTTTTAAAAGAACCTTGGGACTGCCTGACATTACACTCGTGTCTTAGGAAAACCTCATACTACCTGTTACCAGTACTGACACACAGCTAAATGGCACTGGGAAGGATTTGGGTTTTTTGAAGCTTATTGGTGTGTTTATCAGCAGATAACAAATGTCAGAAAATAAATTCCCTTACCACAACACCATACCAGGAGAAAATAGTAAATGTTTTCTAATCAGGCCTGGTGTTAGTCCACTGGTGGAAATCTTGACACCAGGAAAATTGTACCTTTGGCATGAATGGGCCACTGCGGGATAGTAACTTTGATCTTTGACTTGGTGTCAGCTGGAATCCCACGTCCTGCGAGCTGAATTTCTCTCCTTTTGCATTTCTCCCCAGAAGCTCCGTGTGCCACGCCCCTGATCTGCAGCTTCGGGAGGCCGGTGGACCTGGAGAAGGACGACTACCAGAAGGTGGTGTGCAACAACGAGCACTGCCCCCACAGCACCTGGATGCACCTGCAGTGCTTCTACGAGTGGGAGAGCAGCATCCTGGTCCAGTTCAACTGCATCGGCCGGGCGCGCAGCTGGAACGAGAAGCAGTGCCGCCAGAACATGTGGACCAAGAAAGGCTATGACCTGGCCTTCCGCTTCTGCTCCTGCCGCTGTGGACAGGGCCACTTGAAGAAGGACACGGACTGGTACCAGGTGAAGCGGATGCAGGATGAGAAGAAGAAGAAGTCAGGGTCGGAGAAGAACACGGGGAGGCCCCCTGGGGAGGTGGTAGAGGAGGCAAAAAAGTGCAGGCCCCCGAACAAGCCCCAGAAGGGCCTAAACCATGACCTCCCCCGGCGGCATTCCATGGACCGGCAGAACTCCCAGGAGAAGGCCGTCGGCGCTGGGGCCTACGGGGGCCGCTCCCCCTGTGGCTCCCCCGGCCAGTCCCCGCCTACCGGCTACTCCATCCTGTCCCCTGCCCACTTCAGTGGCCCCCGATCCTCCAGATACCTTGGGGAATTCTTAAAGAATGCCATCCATCTTGAGCCTCACAAAAAGGCCATGGCTGGGGGCCACGTGTTCCGAAATGCCCACTTTGATTACAGTTCGGCTGGGTTATCAGTTCACAGGGGTGGCCACTTTGACACTCCTGTACAGTTCCTGCGGCGGCTGGACCTCTCCGAACTCCTCACTCACATCCCCAGACATAAGTTGAACACTTTCCACGTGCGGATGGAAGACGATGCCCAAATGGGCCAGGGCGAGGATCTGCGCAAGTTCATCCTTGCGGCCCTCAGTGCCAGCCACAGAAACGTTGTAAACTGTGCCCTGTGCCATCGGGTACTCCCGGTGTTTGAACAGTTCCCACTGGTGGACGGAACTCTGTTCCTAAGCCCATCGAGACATGATGAGATCGAGTATGATGTTCCTTGTCACCTTCAAGGTACAGGTGTTCATTCACCTTGCCTGCTTTCTGTTTGTTGAGAGCTGGAGAGCAAGCAAGATGGGACTTCTCTGTTCTGGCTCAGTTTTAACAGATGGTGCTTTTTTGTTCTAGTCAGGGGCTAGGTAACGTGAATATTTCACCTTTTCCCAGTGAGATGGGGGAGGTGGTGATGGTCTGTTTTACTCCCATGTCACTGTGCCAGTAATACAGTTGTGGGTAATTTTATGTTTTTGTTCTACTGTAATTTGAGGAGAGGGTTCCTAGTGTATAGTTTGTCATAATTGGGAGGACATTTAGAGAAGGAATTGCATAAAAGAGAGGGTCAAGGCATTTTTAGATTATTTGAATTAGTCTTGACGTTTATGAAAGAAGAGTCTTTTTTGATAGCAACAAAAGGAAAATAGAGGATTATTGGAAACTCAGATTTTACCTTGGTGGTGAGGGTGGGAGCTTTTTAATTCTGTGGATGACATACAAGGACATAGTGACATTTCACCCATAAGTTGAATGACAGAAGGTGAGCAGTCTGTCAATGCATGTAGCGCTATTGAATTTATGTAAAGATAGGATGCCCGTCATATATTTTCATAACTTTAAAAGTGTGCTAAAAAGCCTTGCAGTGAAAATGCTACATCCTCACCTAACTTTTTCCCACCAACCCCTGCTGTTTCAGTTCCCAGAGACAGATTTAAATCTTACATGATTCTTCAGGTTTTTACCATCATAATTTTAAAACTATTATATTCAGCCTCCAATTTTAGATAATACCTATTGACTTACTTTTAAGGTGGACGACTATGTTTCATGATCTTCCCCTTTCTCTCAGGATAATATATCACAATTCTTGGATAATCCTTAATGTTTTTGGCGGTTGTTTTTTTACTTTTAGTATGGAAATAGTGTTGAGCCGAGAAGTAAAGGTACATATATTTCCTGTATAGAATACCTTTTGTTTTTATTAAAGTTAATCGCTTCATGTTTAATTTGCTTAACCTTTGTTGAATCTTTGCTCACTCTGCAGCAGCAATACAAACCACCTTTCAAAAACATGTCCACATACCTATGACATTTTATGTTTTTTTTCTAGAAATTTTCTTCATGGAACCTTTCATCTTCCTGCTCCTGGTGCACTCAGTACCTGCTATACTGAATAGTTGCCCTCCTAGGAATTTCTTCAGTTCTTTCCTACTTTTTACCTTCTGTTTTCTAGACTCCACATTTTGTTTTTCCTTGGTTTATTCCCTCAATTAGTTAAACATCCCCTATGAGCTTTCTGAGAAAGGGACTATGTAAATAGATTTTTTAAGACTTTGAAAGTGTAATAATATCTTGAGTCTATCTTCACACTCAATTGCTGTTTGGCTGGCCCTTGTTTTAAGGCAAAACCACTCCAAAACTTAGTGGCTTAAAATAGTGATTTATAACTTCTCACAAACCTGTGTATTGTTTGGATAGGATGACCTCTCCCACACGTCTAGCAGTTGGCAGGCTAGTTGGCCTCGGGAGCCTCAGCTACAATTGCTCATCCCTGTTCTATATACCCTCTCATCTCCCAATAGTCTAGCCTGGGCTTTTCACGTCACTTTCCCAGGACACCATTCAGGAGAGCGAGAGCTTCTCCCTCTGGAAACTTAAGCTTGGACCTGAGTAACATCATTTCTGTCATATTTTGTTCCTCAAAACAAGTTGTAAGACAGCCCAGATTCAGGGGATGATGAAATAGACTCTGCTTCTTGATGGAAAGTTGCATAGGACCTGTGGTTGCTCATCCACCCCACTCATTCCCTTCCGCACTTCTTCCCGCTCCCCCGTGCGTGCTGTCCAGTTTGAGAGGCAAACTGTTTACCATTCCTCCACCCAATTTCTGACCTCATATTCTGGCTCAGGTTTGAGGTACCTCATAGTTTCATGGAAGATGGAGTTTGTGTTTATTTCTTGTTCTTTATGCTGTTTGGGAATAATTTTTGAGGGTAGTGAGTTGAGACACCTTTAGTTTACCATTTTTAGACTGGGAATAAATATTATTCCCAGATGAATGAGGATACAAGGGTAGAGGGTACATGAGAGTAGTGTTCTTTTTCCATTCGTGATGGACAAGTTCTTTTCACTTAATCCATTCATCAGCCAATCAAACTTATGAATTTCGTGTGCTGGGTACTCTCAGTCTTTGCCTTTCATCAGCTTATAATCTTAGGATGTATGATGCTTTTATAAAAAATGTAACTCACTTCCAGGCTTACAGCCCTAGTACCACCCGGCAAGCGAGTAACATCTGGTTATTATGCACGTTAGGTGTCCTGTAATTTCTAAGGAGGAAGGGGCCGCTTTGGCCTGAGTAGTCAGAGGCAATGTGAAGGCATATATCAAAGACAGGCTGGTTTTAGGGAGAGCTTCTAGTCACAGCAGGTGTTTGTTGCTAAGGAGAGGGAGCCATGTGCAAAGGAATAGTGGTTAAAAACAATCGGGACCATGAGAGAAGCGTACGGTGAGCAGAGGTCCTAGAGTGGAGAATGAGTGGGGTGGGTGGAGAACAGGTTGTAGGTGCACTCTCAAGCCATCATAAAGACGTCCGCCGCGTTCTTTATGGGGCCTCGGCATGTGCCAGGGTTTTTATGTCCCATCTCGGAGAAGTCCATGCAGTCTTTTTTATAGCAAGCTAATGTAGACCATTTTTTTCCATCACAGAGTCCCAGCCCTGTACTCCTTACAGCATTTCCAACTCCAGCAGAAAGGCCACGTTCCAGGCCACAGATTCCCGGCTGCAGCTGATTATATGCTGCTGAAATAACGTGTTATTTCCAGTGCTGGCTCATGTGGACTGTCAGTCCTTTGCCATTCCCTTTACCCCTCACTCCCTCCCCAGCCTCCAGCTCTCTGACTCTTCCTCCAATAAGATGTTTTTGTTTGACTTTAATAATGTATTAAGATTGATCTAATGAAGTTTTCATTGTACGTCTTTTCCACTTAGAACCACAGATAACTGTTCTCTCAGGAATCTCTGCTTTTTTATTGTTCTCACAACCCTAGAGTTCAGAAATTTGAATTTCTCTGTATTTAGTACAATGTATAATAGTAACTGAAACAGATCTAGAGACTCAGTCCACACCAGGAGTTCCCATGAGTTTGTCTAGAGGTTAAGAGTCAGGCAGATATGAATTGAAGTCTGGACTTTGCTATTCATTATCTTTATGAACCTAGGCAAGCTACTCAAGCTCTCCTATCTGAAGTGGGAATAACAATAATACGTGCTTTGTCATGTTGCTGTGCAGGTTAAGTAAAATGCTTCAGGTAGCCTCGTAGCACAGTGCCAGACAGACCCTTGGCAAACTGTCAAAGTTCCCAGTCAACCTCATCGTTACGGTCATTGCTACCAACGCCTGACCTCTGTCTATCCCTGCCCTGACCCTTCCTGGTGGCTGCCTGGGTGTCTGAATAGTTGAGAATTGCAGTGAGTTAGTCCAGGAGGGAGACTGGAAATGAAGTGTTTTTTTAGTGTCTTCTGGATGCTTGAATTGACATCCCGAAATGTCTCTGGGCCACTCTGAGTGGGGATGGTGTGTGACCTTTTGTTTTCAGCATCCTAGAGCAGAGGCGGACAGTATTTCAAGAAGCTCTTGTCACCCTTCGCATTTTTGACATAGAGACCTCGAATGTTATATTGTCTTTGGCTATTAACGGGCCCCATCCATTCATCGAACATGCAGTTATGGAGTGCTTTCCACATTTCAGACTGTGTTAGACTCTGAGCCTACAAGGATGAGTAAGACCTAGTCCTCAAAGAGGAGAGAAAATGCTATAAAAGGTGTCCCTGAAGTACTGTTTACTCTTCTCCAGTGTAAGGAGCTTGCTGGTTTTTAGCACCAAAAAGTGAAGAGCCATGGCCTGGCTGATGGCAGCGAGCAGCTTAGGTTGAATAAGAAGCCACTTAGGATTATGTGTTGTCCTAATAGTAGTTTTCGGCACAGTGGACTTCCTGATCCCTATACAGAGAGCAGCATTGCTGCTGCTGCATATCACCCAGGCGGGTCCTGAACATTCTGACTCTTTCCCAATGATTGAACTCTAACCCTTCCATATAACCTGGGTGGCAGGTGTTAATAAATAGTGGAGGAATGGGGGTGTGACTTTTAAATAAGACATTGAACTCCTTTTAAAATACTACTTACATGTAAGATATAATTCTGGTTCCTAAATTAGATGTGGTGGTGGCTGAGCAATTTTGGAGACAAGGACAGTTAACATAGTAATTTTGGCTGTGGTATAATTTTGGGCTACCAATACCAGGACAGACTTTCGACTTTATCATGGGACTTGTTAATGGATGAGAGAGCCCATGAGTACAGACCAGTGTTGCTAGTTCAGCCTGTATGCCACACATAGGCTTCTGAGCAGAAAGTCTAGCACGGTCACAGGCTGGTTCTGAGTGCTCAAGGCTTGGTCATTTGAGTTTGGATGTCTGTATAGGAAACCTGGCAGCACTTTTTGGAAAAGTGGATGGAAGCAATATTTAATAAGGTTGAACTTAAAGAACATGTTCATTGACAATAGTTATAACTTGGGGATGTGTGGATATCTATTATGCTTTTTATATTTATCCAAATGATAAAATATTTGCTTATAATTGATAGGTGAGCCAATTTTTAATCACCTTTGGAGACAAAGGGTGCTTTCCTTCTTGGCCACCCTCAGCATTGTGTCTCTGTGTACAGGGAGACTCATGCATCTGTATGCTGTGTGTGTGGACTGCCTGGAAGGGGTTCACAAGATCATCTGCATCAAGTGTAAGTCGCGGTGGGACGGCAGCTGGCACCAGCTGGGCACCATGTACACCTACGACATCCTGGCTGCCTCTCCCTGCTGTCAGGTTGGTATTGACCCCCACAGAACGAGCAATGGGTGACATCAGGCTTCTGTCCCCAAGTGAACATAGAGGAGTTAGAGTCAACATTGCAGTTATGGTGGGGAGGTGGAGGGCCTGGGGAAGGCGCATTATTAGTGAGCATCCGTGACATGCCTCCAGAGTCCAGCAGTGGTGGATGTACTGTAGTGTGGTGCAGCTGTTACTGGACTACTATGTAGTCATGAAAAGGGATGTTGTAGAATAATGATTAACTATGTGGGAAGTATTTTCAATAAAAAAGTGATTATAAATGGAATATAAATGGATTATAAATGCTTCCAGTTATAAACAATGAACATGAAAAGGGATCTGCTCTCCAGTTATCAGGTTGTTTCAGGATGTGGGATGCGGAGCAGTTCTTTAGTTTTCTTTTTGCTTTCTTATATTTTCTTATGTTTTATATGGTTAACATATACTAAGTTTCTAATAGGCAAAAGTTATTATTTAAGAGGAAGAAGAAAGCTGCTCTTTCTTTAATAGACAAGATTTCCTTTTGGTTTCCTTCCTGTGGGACAGTACAGTTACTCAGGACCTGCCTGCCTTGTAAGGTATTTGAAGTTAACATGAAAGAGGCAGTTAGCACTGCGAAGAGAGCATCTGACATTTAGCTGTCACCAGCAAAAGAGAAAGATAGTAACATGCGAAACATTAAATACGTTCATAGAAACACAGGAGGCGACAAAATCCTTGGAAGTATCTGGGTTTACTTCCAAGTGATTGGAAAAAGCAAGCCCTTGTTACAAAATTCCTTGATCTTTGTGGGTAGGAGAGAGATTTTCTTTCGCTCTTCAGTGGCCAAGTCTGGCTTTTAATAAAAGTGATAAACACTTCATTAGTGTGCTACATAGTTTTGCCTCGCTAGCAGTATGCCTTGATTTTTGTAAAGAGAATATCCTTATTATCCACAGTTGATTCAGAGGATACCCTGTGTCGGTTGCATTAAAGTGTTGGCAGAGTCGGTATTTCAGCTGTACTTTGTCTATACTAGTGATATTAAAGGTGAAATAGGGCCATGAGAGACCTAAATGGCCATCCATAGCCTGTCATTTGATTCCAGGATTGAGTGTTTTTACGCTGTTCTGATACATGGGCCAAATTTCCATTTTAAACCTTGGCCTTGGAAATGAGATACCACAGCCCTTTTGCTATTCACTGTAGCATTTTATAATACTGTGCCTCATGCCAGCTCATGAAGTGAGAGAAACACAAGAAAGTGGCTCCTCTCTTCACACACACACCAGAGAGGATTCTCTTTTAGAGAAACAAGGAAGTAAAAGAATATTTGGCCTGTAACTCATAGAATGTTAGCTTTTGGAAGCACCTGGGAGATCAAGTCCAGTCTCCTTGTTTTCCACACACAGTGGAGGCCTAGAAAATTAGAATGTTTTACACAAATGTGTCACAGTCATGACTAAAACCTGTACCTCCCAGGCTGGTGTTCTTCCTACGACACCACTGAAGGGCAATGGGATTACTACTTTTGAGAGAAAAGCCATCCTGTTGGATTTATATCATTCTTCCTTGTTTTAAGCCCAGACCTTTATTTTCTGCCCCCTCTCTACTGAAATGGAAAACATGTTTAATTGTTGTTTGGCTTTTAAAAAGTCAATTAACTGTATTCACTGTGAAGTTAGACATGTTAGACGTGACTAAGCAATCGAGGGAAGTCTTCCAATAAAACCTGGAGCCAAAACTAAGCAATGATTAGTTATTAGAGAGGAATAACAAGCTAAAGAGAGATGTTTGCTCAGAATCTCACTTTTAATGTTGCTCAGAGAGATTAGTCAGTTAAAAGGGAGATTATCTCAGGTTACAGAAGGTAGTCCATGTAATGGCTAGGAGCGTGGGCTCTGGAGTAAGCTACTTGGGTTCGAATCTCAGCCTTTCTCCTTTCTGACTGTATGCTCTTGGGCACATCACTTTATCCCTGTCTGCCTCAGTTTCATCATTTAAAAATTTACATAATCCCACTTCACCAGGAGTGTTTTGGGGACACAATGAGGTTATACGTTTCTATTGCATTTTTAGAATGAATCTAAATTGAGAGTCTTATATTTATCATTTCTGGTTACTTACTTAAGGCCTATTGGTGAAAACCTTCAGTATTTGCCGTTAGAGAGGGGCCCAGGCATGAACCAGCAACACTGTGCTAGTGGGTTTCAGAGCCTCAGGATAAACACAGCACTGCTTTCTGATTGTTAATTTTACTTGAGCATTTTAGGGAAATTTTATTTTTACACAAAGGAAATACAAATATAGCGAGGAGTAGAATGAAAAGTGTATGAATTTTTAAAATAAACTTAGAATCTTCAAAGAAGTTTATACAGGTTTGGTGTGGGAAGTCCGCTTCAGCTACTCTTTGAAATCTAGGGGGAAGGCATGTCCTGTTGTTAGAGCCAGTACAAGTATCCATTTTCTTGTAGCAGTTCTACGTATTGGGAGAGAAATTAGGAATTAATCTTTCAGACTAATGATGAATACTTGAATATACATCTTATGCTTTGCCTACCCTGTTTTTGGTAATCAAAAGGATACTTGACTAAACTCCAGATCAGTTTCCCAGCTGTACCAGTCTCGCATTTGCGTTCAGATGACTTGAACAGTGTTGGGAGGCAGGAGGGTGTGGTGGCTCATGGTGCCTGTGTTTCCCCTCAGGCCCGGCTGAACTGCAAGCACTGCGGGAAGCCCGTGATCGACGTGCGGATCGGGATGCAGTACTTCTCCGAGTACAGCAACGTCCAGCAATGTCCACACTGTGGGAACCTGGACTACCATTTTGTGAAGCCATTTTCCTCCTTTAAAGTTCTGGAAGCTTATTGATGAAAGCTTTGCTTTGGTAATAGCTCTTTTATTGATACTATTACTTTATTACATATCTTTTCTAGGGAAACATTCTGCAACGTTAATTTCTTTTCTAATTTAAAGGAGTTCCTTTGTTATGTGGCCACTAAAATGGGGGCTGCCCTTGCCCTCTCCCTCTCCTGCCTAACTCCCAAATGTGAGTCTGTGGTCATGACCAGAGCCCAGGGGACAGACCTGTGAGTTGGGGTGTTGGTTCACTATCACAAAGAGTCTCTCATGCTCTTTTAAAGTGGTGGGGAGGATGGGCTGAATTTAGGAAAGGGGTTACAGGGTTCTAAACGAAGAGCATGGTAGGAGTTGGGAGCACACTTTTACTTTAACCATTTAAAGACCCACGTTTAGATCTTCTCTGGGCCTTGGGAAAACATGTGACAAGTGAATGTGCGTCTGTACCTGGAGAGCTGATGGTGTGTTAGTCCATCTTGGTTTAGCTTCTGCAGCACACGTGGACATGCAGTTTACATTCACAGATTATTTGAAAGTGAACACGAGGGCTGTTTCCATCACTCTTATAATAGTCAGTCTTCATACTGAAAATAACATCCAGATTATGAGACATATGAAAGCTATTGGTATTGCAAATATTTTTAGGTAAGCTGACCTATGACAGAATATACTAAGTGAATTTGGAAATGATGCACACTCATTCAAGAGGGCAAAAAGGCAGAAAACTGTGATCTGAATTTGGTCACATTAGCTCCTAAGGAGAATCCATGAATGACATGATTTGGGTGGCACCAGTTTATATAGGTTGCATTGTCAAAGTGCCATTTCATGTCAGGTCCTTCTCACAGGTAAATCTCACAGCCACAGCACACACCTGCCTGGCCAGTTGGAGAATCAGTCATGGCCACACTTATCTTCCCCCAAATTGCTGACAGTGGCATTTTACCCATTTAGTGCTGAGTTTCCAAAATCAAAGATTTTACCCTAGGAAGGGAAGGAAAAAAAAAACCCTACTTGTTGAGGGTATGAGGAAAAGAATAATTTTAATTCTTCTGTTTTAAGTATATTTCATTTTGGAAAAAATCACTGATTGTAAGGTATGACAATGCGTTTGAAAAGAGATCATTCTGAAGATCTCCACGATACCTTATCATTGGTGAAAAAAGATAATAACGTATATTCTTATTTGCCAGAGCAGTGGGCTTTCCAAAATACAGCTTTCTGCTCATTAGATCGTGGCAATTTAAATAGACGTACACCCTATGTCCTCATAGAATTGAATTGGAATATCATTTCTCAAAAATGAATTTGATAATTTCAAATGTGATATATGTAGATGCTAAGTGAATGCTTAAAATATAATTATTTTACAGGTAACCAAATTTGGGGTTATGTGAGTATTTATATCACTCACTTGGTTTATACCCTTTTTTCCTCCTCAGAAAAACAGTTGTTTTTCCTCTCAGAAGTGTTCAGGATTATTGCAAGTGAGCTTCAGTCCCACATGAAATATTTGATGTTTTATTTGAAACAACACCACCTTAAAAAGAATCCATATGTTAATTTTCACCTTTCAGTTTGGGTGATTGTAATTTGGTTTCCCACATCTGGTTGTGGTGTTTCATCAAACACCAAAATACCAACACTTTTCATGATCAGAAAAGTATTTCATGGTGGGGGAAATGCCCAGTGTTACTGAGAAGCAGGAAGTCGTTATTGGTCCAATAGTATTTGATGCAACTGAGAGAGGTCTATAGGACATAACACTTGCAAATTCGTCTTTAATATGCAGAGTGGTAGTTGTGAGTTACCTGTTTTCCTGTTGGTCCTCTCATGTACCCAAGTACAGAAGTTTTTCTCGTCTTTGGAGCACCATTTGGATTTTCCTTCTGAATTTAAAATGAATAGTAAAATATTTGTAATGCTGTTCTTTAACCCACCTAAATTTTTGTAGAGAAACTTGCTTTTGTATTGTTGTTCTCAAGCTTAATGTTTACATATAGGTCGCATTCAGCAAGCTCCTCGGTCTAAAACTTTGTGAGCGTAGTGTCTGATGCATTCAGTATTTTCTTTTTATATTGGTTTCTGCTCCCTAAAAAAAAGTATGGTGCACTCACTATAATTAGGTAAAGTTTGCTTTTGGCCTTTATTTGATGAAAAAGTTAGAATTCTATGGATGCTGTATCGCAAAAGGAGAGGCATAGGTATCATATCTGAGGATATCTTTGGCCTTCAAGGCATTGCATTCTTGTCTAAAATGAAAAATTTGGTTGATTTGAGAATAAAATATAATTGATTATACAATAATGTAAAGAATAAAGCTTGTTTTGGAAATCTGCTGACCTTAATATTTTCCCCATGCTTTCTCAAAGTACTTTGCTGTGAGTACCTTGCTGGAAATTGGAATATGTAAAAAAAGATGATTATTTTTGTTGTGGTTTGGATATTAAAAGATATTAGTCACCCAAGAGATCCATTTTCTGTTTTTCTGATGAATAGTGCTCAATAGTATGAATCACTCATAAGTGACATAATTTCAAAGCAATTTGTCATCTACTCTTAACTTTTTATCATTTATTTTTAAGAGTTACATACCTTCAACAAATAAAATGATCTACTTTAGTGAGAAGACTATTTCTGATGGTCTCATCATTTTCTCTTCAGGCCAACTCAGTTCTCCACTTTCTTCTGGTTGTCTCTGAAGCAGTTAATATACTGGGTTTATACCTGAAAAGATAGACATTGGCCATGAAATTGGGGAGTGGGGTCAGTTATCCCAGTCTAATTAAGGAAGAGCTTTCCCCAGTCTTTATTTTGTAGTTTTTGTAAAAGAAGTTCATTTTCAGAGTAAAAAGTATTTTCATATCTGCTTGAGGGAAATTAATTCATCAGAAAACAACATTATTAGGTATTTAAACCCTAAACCTAGCAGATACACTGATACATAACTTATTAGACCACCAAAACTAATCTACTGAAATCTCTCATTTTGTCCCGTAAGACCGATGCTTAACAATACAGTCTGTTCTCCAGTGCCAGGGTCAGTAACTCTAGTTTGCTTTTCTCTTTAGTCTCATGGTAGCAGCTGTTGAGTAATTTCAGTTGGAGATTCGGGAGGCAGTGAAGAGAAAGGGCTCTTGTTCAGTGTTTTGGCTCCTATAACCGGATGCTGCCTAACTCAGCTCATCTCCATGTTCTGTTGACTTTGTTACCATTCCAGGTAATTGAAAGAAAATATATGGATGGGCATCTTTAAAACCAGCTCAAAAATATATTCCTGTCTTTAAAGATTTCTCGTCAAGATGGCTTGGATTGCACTTTGGTGGAGGGAAGACAGTGTAAATAGTTCAAGAATGTTGATAAAACTGAAACACTTGGTTATGGAATTGTGTGTGATGTTAGAAGGTTTCTGTCTGTGAAATGTATGTTAATAAAAATAATAAAATTTCAGAAACTGACATTGTACTCTCTCTTCAGTGTGTCTCTTTATTTTTTTGAGCTTGGAATTGTTAACAGAAAAGATAGTGGGGAAGACTTTCTGCGGTTTTGTTCACCATCCAGGTAACCATTTCAAAGTCTCTACTGCAGCTAATAAAAACTGAACTTTCTGTGCTGTTTGAAAGTGGTTTGTCACATGTAAACCCCCTTAGCAACAAAATAAGTATTCTGTATAACGGTTAATTCCCTATGAATAATCTAAAATTATTGTTCTGGTTATAGGGAATTCTATCCAACAGGTAGATAATCCTATTCTACACATGTTTTTTTTGGTACCTAGGACTGTAACATTTTTCATAATGAAAAGATTTGGTCATATCCTTCTTTATTATAAGAAAATGGACACTGAGTTGTAATTAAACTTCTTGCTGACTTCATGCTGTTTGATCAAGTGTAGTTTATCTTTCAAATCTTCTTGTCTCCTCACTTCTTTTTTTTGAGCCCTAATCAGTTACTGAAACATTAAATAACATTCAGCAAGTATAATTTAAAGCCTAGATATATGCTCAGAAAGTGTGTGTGTGTTTTCCTTTTCAACCACCCCTTTCTCCACCCCTTTGGCATCTGTCAGCGTTTCATCTGTATCTGCGGGTCTGTTTCTGTGTTGTTTGGTTTACTCATTTGCTTTGTATTTTAGATTTCACACATAAGTGAAATCAGATGTTATTTGTCTTTCTGTGGCTGACTTATTTCACTTCCACAATACCATCTAGGTTCATCCATGTCATTGTCCTTCATTTCAGATATTCTCAGCCAAAAGATTGAAATCCACAGAATCCTTAGAACACACTGTAAGATGTGGAAACGTGGGCAAGGAAAGAGTCCAGTCTGCCAGTGGATTCAGAGCCTGTCGTACCACTTATTTACTACAGACATCTGAGGCATGCATTTTATTTTGTTTAAAGGCTCAAGGACTTGGGATATTGTGATTTCTACTAGTGTAATTTATGTCAATGGAATTCCTTTGCAATTGTAAGGAAAGTACAGTTCTTACTGTAGTAGAGAGAAAAAAACCAGAGTTCTACAGTGATTGTTAAGAATTATGTTTAATGGAAGAAAAATCTCATTTGTTCTTAGTAAGTTCCATTTCTTTAAACCTTGCTTATATTGTTTTGACTTAAATTTGGCAGCAATTAGATTGCTAATTTTGTAGACTAGACTGCCCCTCTAGTAGTGAGCTAAATTTGGGGAGAAAAAAGCTTGCCTTGAGCTTTGCTTTGTTTCATGGGCTCTCAGTTCTCCATACCTGGGATAAACCTTACTTGATGAATGCGAATTATCTTTGAAGATAGGAAAGTGCTGTACGGTGGTACTGTTTGAAATAGTGTACTTTTAAGGCATATTTTTTCTTCTAATGGCAGCCTTTAGCATTGTGATAATTACTTTATATAAGCTTGGTCTGGTATTGGTATGCCTTAGGGACAGCAGACATGCACATAGACAAAGCACTTTGTCTTACGGTGTTCAGTGGAACAACACTGGCTGCATCCGTCACAGTTCAAATGGGATCAACTGCCACAGCACCATTTCCTGGTGTGGACACCATGCCAAGTGGCTCTGATACACTTGATTGAAAATGTAGATCATATCTTAAAATCAAGTTTGGAACAACCTAATTACATTCCACATAAACCTAAAAGTGGAAAAGTCATTGCCACAATAGTCACAGAATTTAGAGATGCCAGAATTTGGAGCAAGGGCTTTGCTTTTTTGTTGTATTCATAATAATATACGTTAAATTTCATCGATAAACTCATTTTAGAGAGAAACAAGCCCAGAGAACTTAAATCTAAGTAAGTTCACATAGTTAATGTCTAGCCTGGAATTAAGCCTGGATTTCCTCTCCTAGTCCTCAAAATTAGATCAACGAATGGGTGCATTGTTTTCAGTTGAGAGATGACTTTGGGCTTGTTCTGACAAGGTGATAGGTTTAAAAGGTATAGTAGTCCTCGACTCAGCAGCCCTGGTGCTAAAGTGGAAGTCATTCTGAGAGCCCTTGCTGGGGACCCTGGTGGATAAGGCTGACAAGCACATTTGAAAGTATCCCCTAGTTTTAGGAAAAACAAACAACAACTAAAAGGAAAAAAAAAATATGTGAAATCAATAGCTGTGTCCTGTCTTTTTTCATGCATTCATTTGTTGACTTCTGTTCCCTTTTGTTAAGATAGATCATTGCCTGAGGAGAACTGGCTGGGTGCAAGGTGGCACTTCCAACGGTCTACAAAAAATCCATCATTTTATTCACTTGGGGATCTGACTTTGAGATGTTTTTGGATTCAAACAGGTCAAGCTGTCATCCTTGATAGCATTGATCTATGTAATTTGGGCAGGGTTTTCCTTTTTGACTAACTTTTCAAATAGTTTCTCTTGGAGTGTTTCATTTTCAGTTTCTTAATATCTTTTCTGAAGCTCTGGTATCCCTGACTTTTTTGAATTGTTAAACCTGATTGTTGTTTATTTGAAATTCCACACAACCTTAGAGGGAAAAAGTGCTGGTTACAGGTTTCTTTTAGAGAATTACATTTTTTTCATGACTTTTAGGGTCTATCTTTTGAGCTAATAATTAGTGATATTCCGAGTTATTGCAAAACCATGGGTTGGCAATCAGTGCTTTACATCTTCTTACTATTTTCATCACATTAACAATTCATGTATTTTTCTGAAGCTCTGATGACACAAGCAAGTGGTTGGTGAAGGATGTAAAGCCAGGTGGGGCCCTAGACTAGGGTTCATCTGCAGAAACCCATGGCTCTAAAAAGAGAGTGGTTTGGGCAGGGAGTGGATGGCGGGAGTCCTGGGGGCTGCTCAGAATATTTCAGAAAGCTTAACGGTGATCATAACATTGCCCACTACGAGGCTGCACAGGATATCTAAAAGGGCAGTTTGTTTTGGCAGGAGCCACAGCAACCCTGGTTTTCTCACACTGCTCAGAAACACTGGCGGTAGCATATGCCTTTGATGAATAATGTATGAGGACACAAATGAATTACGACCTAATAAATGCTGTTTATTTTATAGACATAACCTTTCAAAACCAGGTAGGGTCATATTAGGTGGTGGGGGGGTGGCCTTTGGTGATGACGGAGTTGGGAAAATGCCATTTTTTAAACAGTGCTACTTTCTCTAACCCCTTTTTACCTGTGTGATACTCTTGCTTTATCTTTTCTGTACCTGCCCATCTCTCTTTCCTACCTTTTTCTCCTGCCTTTACTGTTGCGTCAAGTTTCTTAACCACTAGAATACAGTAAAAGTCTCTTGACAAACCCAGACACGCGTTGGTCAATAAATCAAAAAAGTTAAAATAGATGCCTACAACTGGAATAGAGATAGACAAGTTGATCAACGGAGAGACAGACCAGAAATAGCTCCACACTTGCATATATGGTCAACTGATTTTTGACAAAAGTGTAAAGAAGATTCAGTAAAGAAAGGATAGAGGAACACATGGAGCTGGAAGAATTTGATATCCATATGTAAAACCTAAAACAACCAACCTAACCTGGATTCATACACCACATTTCAAGACAAAGTACATCACAGATCTAAATGTAAAATCTAAAAATGGATACATTGGATTATAATAAAGAAACAAACGAGCCACTTGAAAATGTGGGAAAAATATTTCAACAGACACTTCACACACACACACACAAAAGATGGAACACCTGGTAAAATACTGAACATCTTTTGTCAGTATGGAAATGTAAATTAAAACCACAATGCAATACCATTACACACCTGTTGGAATGACTAAAATTAAAAAGACTACCAATTGCTGACAAAGATGTGAGGTAACAACTCTCATACACTGTCAATGGGAAAGAGTTGGCAGCTTTACAAAAAGTTAAACAGATACCTATCATAAGACCCAACCATTCCACTTCTATGTATTTACCTGGGGAAAAAACAAGCATGTTCAGGAAGACATGTTCATGAATGTAGCAACTTTATTTTGTAGTATCCCAAAATGGAAACAACCTCACTGTCCATCAGGACAATGGGTGAACAAAATATGGAATATCTGTACCGTAGATCACCACCGAGCAATAAAAATGAACAAACTATTGATACTGGTAACAACATGGATGAATCTCAAAACTAATACTGGAAAAAAAGAGTACGTACTATAGCCCAGCCATCTTTGCTCAGTGATTGAGCATTGACCTAGGATTCAAGAGATCACGGTTCGATTCCTGGTCAGGGCACATGCCTGGGTGTGGGCTCGATCCCTAGTCGGGGGCGTCTAGGAGGCAGCTGACCAATGTCTGTCATCATTGATGTTTCTGTCTCTCTCCCCCTTCCTCTCTCTGAAATCAATAAAGATTAAAAAAAAAAAAAGTACGGTATGATTCCATTTAGGTAAAACTTTAGAAAATGCAAATGAATCTATTGTGACACTCCCTACCCCACCCTGGGATGATTTATATACCATAAACATTTAAATTTAACTCAGGAACACACATATATTTGACAGATTTGGTTCTTCTGTTTGTTTTAATGTGTGATACCTGCAGTTGTAGGACCATGTACCTTTATTGCAAAACCTTTTGTGATGCATTTTCTAACAGTACTTCCCATTTCGTTCTCTTTAAAACAGAGTAAGAATTTAAGGACACATGAGAAACAATATACACATAAAAACTCTCTAGAGTTTTGGGGGTTTTGTCCCCTAATTGTTCCCTGTTATATCCTTTATGTTTAGGTCAAGAATATTTTTATGTGTGTATAATTTTGCCTTATCTTTCCAAAATATCCTGCTGAGTTATTGAAATAGTGTTTTCTTTTTGTAATTATATTTGATTGGTTTATGTATTATTTTTATTAAATTTCATTATTGCAGGGACAAGTGTAACTGGCATAGACAATTTTGGAAACAAATGCTATTAACTTCCGGTAAGCACACAAACTTTACTGGGGAAAACCGAATGCAGACCCTGCCCGACAGTGAGGCTACCAGCCAGCAGCATGCCCGGGCTGAGGTGATTGACCACAGTGCAGTTTTACAAGATGAATTAGAGGCAGTTCCCTTGCGCGATTGGCTAAATAAAGGTCAGTTGATGGAGATTTCCCCTGCTGAACTCTCTAATGCTCACTTTCTTCATCTGTAAATACTAAGAGTCTCTGCCCGTGGGTATGAGTATTACTAAGGTTTAAGTGAAGTAAGTGAAGTGCTTAGTACAATCCCTGGCATGGAGCAGCTGCTGAAAACGGGCCTGGTTATAATGATGTATTTCATTTCAGAAAGCAGTCCTGAAGTTAGGGCGTCAGATACTGTCTGACTCAAAACGTTAGTTTTGCAGGTGGGGAAAACGGCTCCGCAACACATCAGCACGTCGGGCTGAAGACCTGGGGCCTCACCCGGTGGGTAACCTAAGGA